AAAATGGCGTCAGCCCCCTAACAGCGGGGCGTAAGGGGGAAAAAAAAAAAAAGAAAAAAAAAAAAAAAAAAAAAAAAAAAGGCAAGTATATTCACATTCTGTCCACTGAAACTCAGAAGCCACTTAGAGGCCAATATTGGATTGGTACAGACCACTAGCTCATCTGGAAGTGGAGGGCAGGGGCAGCAGAGGGAACAGAGAGACAGTTGTAATAACTCAAGTATCTCCAATCCTTCCAACCAAAATGAAAATACCAGTAAAACTACCTTCCCTGCAAAGAAGGGAGCAAATGGCTTAAAACATTTGTTCCATCAATGTAAGGGCAAAAGTCAGGCACCACTGAAGCATCAGGTTTTAAAAGGAGCAGAAGGAGAAAGGGGGCAAGAGACAACCATTTCCCCTTTATTTACATAATAAAGTAAAAGATCTTGCATGCAATACAGGTATTTTTGTCAGATTGACCTCAGCTGTGCAATATCTAGAGGTCACATTCCTCCAAGACACAATTCAAAATGTTAGTAAAAACGCTTGCTAAGAAGGCGGCTATGTTCTCCCTTATAGGAAAGGATCTTTCCCCATGATGGCAAAGTGATGCCTAGCAGAGCTCCTCCTCCTGACCAGGACATTTCTAATATGCAAGGAAGATCCATTTGCTAGTTCTGAGTGCCACTGACAGTCTACATTGTGGAAATACTGAACGTTGGATGTCAACCACAAGTCTAATGTAAGCAGACCAAGAATAGAGCAATGCCCTGTCACTCCCCACAGATAATCAGGAGATTCTTTCACCTGGCTTGGCAAAACTAGAAGTAATTTTTGAGATCAGGGCAATAGAAGGCAAAGAAGTCTCTGAGGGAAGACACCTTCAGTGAAACACATCTGAAAGAGACCCTGAGAAGAGAGATACTGCAGGGTGCAAGACAACTTTGTTCCAGTAACCTAGGATAGTCCTTCGCTTCTTCCCACCTGAGTATGTAGAGTCTCCAGCACGTTTTATCTCACTGACACAGTAACCCAGGATAGTTCACCTTCCCCTCCCTCTTCTGCACCCACCTTTGCATGGGTGCCCACCTGACAGCCAGCTGTGCATCTCAGAATTCGGACAACAGCACCTGCATTACATCAGCGACTTCACTAATGAGCAAAATGGGACATTGCAGATATATGATATGTTAATCGGCACAAGCTTTATTATTCATCCCTGCGGTGCCTTCCTTTGAGCTTCAGTCCCAAGCAGGGTTCCCGTTGTGTTGGGTCCCCATGTGCTTAGCGTTGGTGACCCAGGGCTCCCACCACGGTAATGTTATGCTTTTGTTAAAGCCAAAGCTTTCGCTGGCTGGGTGTTGTGCCTTCTCCCTGAGGGGAAGATGGAACTACGTGAGAAGATGACATCCTTGGTGGGCTATCTACCTCATCCAAGCACTCTGGATTTCTCTGATACAATGCTGTGATCACAAAAAATTGCGAGAAATTATGTACACATACATACCCTTGCCCTCCTACTACGTGTCATAGAAATAAGAGCTGCTGCAAGGCCCCGAATAGAGGGACATTCTCACCAAAACATTCAGTTGCTTCAAAAAAATACAAGAATGAACACAATATTCTCACTAGGCTGGAAGTGAAATGTAGCAGTGAAAAGTTTCAGTGCTGAGATTGGGTAAGATTTCCTGGAATTCATTACAACATTTGCAGGATGGTGGGGGTTTCAAGTAAATCGTGCCCAGAAAAAAACCAAGGTTTTACCTCCTCTTCCAGAAAACCAGTGAATTACCAGTGAGTTAGGTGGATTACAGTGTCCCATTTCTCTTCTGGTAGACCGTAATTACCGCCGGGGTTCTAGTGAATTCCTCAATGTTATACAAAGCCTGAAAAGTAGAATCTACACCCAGGTAACCTACCATAAAACAAATACACTCTAACATGCAAGTTCTAATCAAGATAGGGTAGCAGGACCTTTGCAGGTCAAGAAATATGCATCAGTGTCCTTACTGGAGCTCTACTGAGGCCACCACCTTTAATTTCAATTAACACAAATTCTCTCATACACAGGATACAGTAGCATATTTAGTCCACAAACTCTTACAAGAAAAGCAAAAGGTCAAAAGATATGCCTATTTGAAATGCTGTCAGGATTCAAGCATCTAAGGTCCCCATCTCGACAGAGAAGCAAAACCTCCCTTACACAAGCAGATACTCTTTTGATCGAGGAATAAGCTGTTTCAGGGGGATAAATAAGCTCCAAAGAAGGTGACAGAAAAACAGCTGGGAGATAACGGTTCTCAGCAGTCACTCTCAGTTTGGCTTAGGACCTCAGTCCTACCCAAAAATCTGTTCCCTTCTCAAACATTCCAATGCCTTTAGGTTTCAAAGCTTGTGCTGGTATTTGTAACTTCCTTTCTACTGTCAGTATGAAGCACGACCAGCCCTACCCAGAAGTCTGTCTATGCATTTTCCAAAATCCAAGAACTTTGCAACCAATCCTTTCTGCAAGAGATTTACAGCCTGTAAGAACTTCTCTCAAGCCTTTGGAAGTAGCTGACAAACAGTATTTACTCGGTCTGCCCAGAGAGAGACAGAAAGACACGTGAGGAATGGGAAATGCTAAACAAGCAGGGTACAGAAAAAAGAAAACCCTACTTCAAAATTAACACTGCAGTCTTCAGAGCATGTCTACATCACACAACTGAACGCAGGAGAGAGGCTGCAATTCAGCCTTAACTTACACTAAAGCATTCAAAGGGCAGCACGTAGTGGTGCGAGAGTTTCAAAAAGTGGTACCATACAAAGAATCTGAAACAGTCTAAGCTACCGGCAAAGGCAGAAGCTTTCTGTCTTCTCCGAATTTCATTTCACTGCATGGCATTGGTGACGGGTTTCAGGAGTACTTTATCTGAGAACAGAACTAAGAAGTGGTTGAGTAAAAGCAGAGAACTTGGCATGCTTGGCATGCTGCTTCTGTTTGACTGCTCAGCCAAGCACAGATGCAAGAAGATTAAGTACTTCTTGGTGTGTAAACACACAGCCCTACAGAGCTTTGCATCTTGATGCACTGATTTCACCTGAAAATTAGTTTTAGCTAGAATACTAGAAAGAATCAAAACACTTAGGAGGATTACACAAATCATCCAAAGAACCCTGAAAAAACCCCATGCTTTAAACTTGCTTTGTTCACAGCTTCCTGGTTACTTTAGACAATATTCACAAGTACTTTTCCAACAGAAGAAACACATGAACTTTGCTATTACATATATTTGAGAGAGAAAGTCTGTGCGAGAGAGAATACCAACCTTCAGCTTGTGAAGCTGGTGATCGTGCCCACTTCTTAATGCAATTCAGGTGGAAGACATGGTAACAATTCTGACAGCTCCACACCGGGGCTACTACTCGGACCACTTCACAGCATACCATGCACTCGTACTTCTCTGTTGTCAGCTGTTCAATCAACGACCCTGCAAATAAAATGTATTACTTGTGCATGAGACATCAGCTAGCTGAGAAACAAAATTCAAAATTAAATTCCAAGACTTCATTTAAAGTATAACAGAACCTATTTTTCCTGTGTGGCTGTAAGCAAGGTATTTGTTTACCCCTGCAAGATTCCCATTTGATACTTGGCATGCATTTCTCGAGTTGCAGAGCAGGAAGGAAGAGTATGAGATTCCCATAAAGGTGGCAACAATAATTCCTGTTATCGAATAGCAATCATTCTGATCTTACAAATGAGTTAATAGTTTTAAGCTTGGCAGAAGTTTGAGACTATACTCATCACTTTATATGGGAAATTTTGTTTTGCACAAAGTTTAAACCAAAAAGCTTAAAGCTCTTAACTACATAAGTTTCAGCCAAAATTAAATTTAATTCCCATCCCCCAGTATTCCTGGAAGACGACACAAATATTAACAGTGAAGTACCTGGATTACGGAAATAAGCCCCTCATAAACTGACTGCTTTTGGGAGTAGCATTACTGGGAAACAATAGTCAAAGTACAGAGCCTTTTGAGCCATATGAAAGAACGAGAGAAAGTACTTTGAAAATAAAGCAAGAACTCCACATGAAAGACAAACCAGCCTGAAAACACAGATGTGCAACCATAACAAAAGCACCACATAACTTCACTTCTGCCAGATTAACTCAACTCATCAAGGTAAGGCTACCAAATACACCTCGGAAATCCTATTCGATCTGTGCCCACAGAAGTTTAAAATATCTTAATAACAAGTGGAAAGTGTAAAAATATATCTGTTTTAGATGGTACTAATACACAGGAAGTTAGAACTCATAATGGAATTCAAAATGCATTTGTACCACACATAACTGAAAGCAAGCCCATGGATGCCTGGAAACTTGTTTAATCAAGTTAATACCACTGTTGCCCTCCTTAGTAGGATATAAACACTTTCAAGCTTCTTTTCCAGCCGTCCTGCATCAAGCACTGCAAGATCTGGAATTAGCAGTCATTTCTGCATTCGGTACCCCATGAATACTACCCGTTGCAAAGAAAGCATCTCCACCTAAAACATACTGCTTTCCTCCAGAAGACTAACGCTATACAGTATTCAGAAAGGATAGCTGTCCATAAATAGTTAAAAAGCACAGACTCAGTCCCCTGAAAATAGTGGCATGAAGGGAGGCTAATGGGTTAACAAAAGGACCTTTGTGAAGCCAACTGTAGATCCATCTTAAATTGCTAGCATTGTGTTTCAGATTAACTTACTAATCATATGAAGTAAACTATAGATAAGAAACTAACACTGTAGGGAATGTGGAAGAGGGGAGATTAGTAGCAAATGACACATCTTTGTTACAGGCCTTGGAAGTGTAATAAACCTTGTGTAATCAATTTGTTAATCAAACCCATAGATGGTTAAACTATATTAACCTTTGTGACCTAGGGACTCAGCTGTTTCTATTGTAATCGTCTGTTGACTTTTGAATAAGCAATGCCTGCAGGATGTGAGCTTGTATGTAGCGGGTATGCTCTAAAGAAAACAGGTCATCCATCAATAGGACAACGCAGAGGAAGACTACTACCTTCATCCCCGATCACCAAAGAGGAAGGAAAGACCCCTAGCAACAAGGAGCAGAACCAAAGAAACAATCCGAGGAAGCCACTCAACCCAGAGTTGACCCCAGAACTAAAAAAAACTATAAAAGAGGACTCTGGTGGGGGTGAAGCGCGCGCCGTTGGTGGAGCGGAGACTCCCCAGCCGCCCAGCACTGTTTTGCCTGCTTATTACTTGCTCAAATTAAACTCTGTTTGGATACTCTAAATTAGAGTGGACTATTTGTCACCACCGTTTATAACAGAAGGCCTGCAGGAGAACAAAGCGTCTGGCACTTTGTCGATATCAGGATGGCCAAGGATGGGGAGCCGGCTGGTACCGGCTGTGTTGTTCTGACAGTGGAATAAGGGGGGTGGAAGCTGGAGTTCACCAAAAGGACCAGGTGAAGAAGAGGAGTGGATGAAGTAAACGACCCCTGAAGACCGCCAAATCACTGAGCATGCACAGTCGGGAGGGACTTATGGAAATGACCTCCTGAAACTAATCTTAATACAAAGCGGGGACAGGTTATGCCCATGTATAGGCGTATTGGGAAACTTCATGTATATGTAACACTTTGCTACATATAAACGGGGCAAGCTGCAGTGTTGCGGTGCGCACAACTTTGGTGGGTCTACCCCCCATGCTGCCCAGCGCTGAATAAACATACCTACTTTACAATCTTACAGATTGTGGAGTCTGTTTTCCGCACGTCAGGCAGATGCTGTTTCCAAACTAGCTCCCAACTAAAGCATGGAAAGACAGACTGCCATTTTGGAGGGGGAAGTTCCTTAAGCTCCCTGTAAAAAGATCACTACTTCTCTTCCTACTTATTGCATATGATGTTTTTCATTAATGCTGGGAGAAGGACTGAGGTATCTTTAATTTTATGATTCAAGCAGAACCCAGGAGCATGGAAATTAATGTATTTAAGTTGGAAAGGATCAAGGAGGATCTTGATCCTTGAGCTTCTCCCTAGAGAACAAAGTTTCTGACAGGAACTGTCTTATGCATCCCAATTATGCTACTACTTTCTCACCTCTGAAAGCGACAAGATACTGAGAAGGAACAATCTTCAAAAGGCTCAATACCACAGTTAGGATAACAAAAACTAGTCCACCTGTCTCTATCATTCTGGGCAGCAGGAGATTTTCAACTGCAAAGTGACCAAAAAAAGAAAAAAAAAATCTCTCCTTACCAGCTCTGAAAGAAAACAGGATTTCTGCTGCTGGATGCTATGAAGCTATGAATAACAGGAGACTACACTTTCTCAGTGCACAGTTAAGCTTACCTAAAATAGTAAGAAAAAGCTTTCCAGATTCTCTAGAAACAGAAACCAGTACTGTGGCACTGAAGGGCTGATTCAGCTTATTTCCATTTCATTTTTTAAGTCCCTAAAGGTATGAGTTGGCACGAAATTCACTCCAGCAGTCAAAACCTGTGGGTCTGCTTTACACTGTCAATGGCACATGTTTCTATTCTTAACTTCCAAAAATAGTGTCCAGAGACTTTCTCTATTTCTAATTACCTTTTGATAGCATCACTGCGAAAAAAAGAAAAAAAAAAAAAAAAAAAAAAAAAAAAAAAAAAAAGGCAAGCAAAAAGTCCAGTTAGGACCGGAATACAGTTCCTCTATCTGGCATTTTCCTACTTCTACACAAAACATGAGAAAACCTATTCTGCAAAACTCAGTTTTAGGATTGTCCCTCCCAAGTCCCATTGTTCAGAATGCTCAGTTTTACTCCCCGCTCTCACAATCTACATGTTTTAACATGGTGCGTGACCAGGCCATCATTTGCAGTTTGGTAGCATAACGAAAAAAACATCAAACAAAAAACCCACAAACCCAGTAAACTTTAAACAAAACCTGCTCTTCCCTAGTAAACTTAGAGAACACCTCCCCACTTGGAAACCACACATTTACATTTAATTCTACCCTCTGAAACTGATACTGACCTAATGTGACATAATAAGCCTCTTCAGCTAGCCAAACGTGAAGGCAGTTTAGATTATTCAAGACCACATCTTTAATACAGGACTACAGGACAGTCCACAAAGCCTACCTGTATGAGTTTCTTTGTTTTTTGGTACATCACTTTGCTTCTTCCAGTACTGGGTCCAGCTGAAATGAAGTGCAGGTGCCTGATCCCCCTTTAGCAGGAACTTTCTTCCATTACATCCAACACAGTCAGACAATTGATGCCCGATTTCACTGGTCAAGTTTTCATCATTTTTGTGAACAGAGAGTTCTTTCTTTCTCTCACTTTTATCTTTTGGAGCATATGCAAGAGAAGACTTCTTACACACTTTTGTATTTTTACCACGGTGAGAATCAGGTCTTTTCTGACACTCCTTTTCTATTGGGGGTTTATTCCACACAGGCTTCCGGGAATATCTTTTGTTTACATAATTGTAGCCTTTCTGCTCATCTGCACTACCAACAGCTCCATCACCGAATGCCTTTCCAACAGATGATTCTGAAGAGTCAGACTGAGTCAAATCCAAAGATGGAACATTTTCAAACAGCTCGACTTTCTGTTTAGAGCTCACTCTCTTTTCCCGCTCATGTACTTGCTTTCCCTTCTCTCTGAAGCCTCTTCCAGATGCATGCATCAGATGTGTTTTCTTTGGCTTTGCTCCTCTGCTATCTGCATTAGGTACATCCCTGTCGCTCTCTGAGGAGACAAAGTCATTGTATCCTCTAGGAGGTGCTCTTCTCCCAGGTACTACTGCAGCATCTGAAATTCCTGGACCTGCAGCAGCATCAACAGTACTTTGCTTTACCTTGCTTCTAGTACATGCGCTATCGTTTCGTGATCTGTGCCATCTCTGGTTTTGCAAGTTGCGATTCTTCAAACTTTTACTGGTACCAAAACACTGGTGGAAGTCTGCAGAATTCCCATACTGACTTACTGGATTACAAAAGCCATGATGCTTTGTGGAAGAGCTTTCATAATCTGTACCTCTTTCAGAAGACAGACTAGGAAACAGTAAATTACTTCTATTCCGATTACTCTTAGAGTCTTTCCTATCTTTATTTACCCAGTTTATATCTGTAGGTTGTCTTTCTCCTGGAATGGAATCACCATCATCGGGACTTAAATTCAATGCACCTAAAAAGTAAAAAAAATAAACACACAGAGATAGGACTATCAAATAGTGAACATGTCTTTTCTGCAAAATTACCATACATGCAAAGGCCCAGAAGTTCAATCAATCCCACGCGTGACAGAACAGCTGCAAACAAGTTCCCAGAAACTAGCACTGAACCACACAGTGCTTTGTGGAAGTTACCTTCTCTTCTCATCTTTCTCTAAAGACTGTGATGACCCAGAGTTAAGATGAGAATACAAAAACATAAGGTGAAGAAAAACATCTGAAGCATCACTGTACGTATGTAAGACATGCAAGTGTGATAATTAGTGTTTAACATGTGATTAAGTTTTTCCTAGCACGTTTACATGCACACACACGAACCCAAAGAAAAAGGGGTCCTTTAAACACAATGTCCACATCTGAGGTTTTAATATTACACAGAACTTTGAATACAAATTAAAATCCATCAGCCAAAGAGTAGCAATAGTAAATGCTTGCATAAACTCCGATTACAATGTTCTACATACAGACACATTATGAATCATAGAATCACTTTGGTTGGAAAAGACCTTTGAGATCATCGAGTCCAACCGTTAACCTACCCCTGCCATCCCACCACTAAACCATGTCCCTAAGCACCTCATCTATCCTTCTTTTAAATACCTCCAGGGAGGAGGACATGACCACCT